TCGAGCGGGCCCGTCGGCGGCGCCGATGGCGTAGAGGAGGTCGCCGCCGACGCACTCGGCGCCGCCGGCGGCCCAGCGCTCGGCGAGGAGGCCCGTGCCGCTCCGCGCGCGGCGCGCGGCGGCGTTGGGGTCCCTGAGCGCGTCGCCCAGCGCGCGCCCGAGCGGCGACGCCGCCGCGGCCGCGAGCCGCGACGGCGGCGGCGACGCGGTTCCGGCGCCGGGCGGCCGCGGCGCCGCACCCGCGCGGCTCACGAGGGGCCGCCGCAGGGCCACGCGGCACTCGCGGCCGTCGCAGGCGTAGCGCAGGAGCGCGTCGCCGCCCGCCGCGGCCGCGACGGTCAGGCGCGCGGCCGCGGGGATCGGGAACGCGTCCGCGCCGGCCGCGGCGCCGGAGAGCTCCACGGCGTCGCCGGGCCGCAGGGGTCCCTCGACGACGTCGAAGGCCGCCGACACGCGCAGCGCGCAGGACCCGTGCGCGGCGCTCGCGAGCTTCGCCGCGGAGTCGACGTGCGCGACGCGGCCGACGAGCGCGCCGCGGACGTCGACGGCGCCGCGCGCCGACGCGCCGCCCCGGGCGTCGACGCAGCGCACCTCGAGGGTCCGCGGCCAGGCGCCGGGCCCGCGGGGCACCTCGAAGCGCAGGCACTCGCGCCCAAAGTAGGCGCCGCCCTGGGATACCGCGACGCGCGCCGTCGACCGCTCCGCGGACCCGAAGCGCGCGCAGACGCGCAGCGCCGACGCCGTCGCGAGGCTGCCGGCGAGGTCCGCGACCGCGATGATCTGCACGTGCAGGATGCCGAATGCATCGGCGCTGGGGGCCTCCATGCCTTTTGCCACTGCTCGTTTGGCGACGTTTGCCTGAAACATGCAGACCTAGCCCGGGCCGAGAAGCCGGGCTTTGCTCCGGCGACGGCGTCCGATGGCCGACGCACCCCCCGTCTAAACTACCGGGGATTGGTGTGCGGCCAGGGACGCCCGGTGGCTATACGTGACAAAAACAAGCGCTCGGATTGGGACGAATGGCTAGCCGTTTCGCTGGCTTGAGTACCAAACACGTACGCGCGGGCCGGGGACGGAGACCTCCGAGGCCGCGCTTCCGACGCACGGCAGCCCGTTCTGGTGGTCGGAGTGGCCTTCCATGACCCCTAGGCGTAAGCCTGACCGTCGGTGCCCTCATCGGAGGTGGTTCTGGCGTCGACCAAATTCCACCGCGCGGGCCTCGTCCCCGCGGGGCTGCCGCGGCGTACAAGTCCGTGGTGGCGGTGCGCGCCACCATCGATGGCGTTGGATACGCCCCTTGGTTTTGGGCGCGACGTGGGTGTGACGGCTGGGGAACGCCATTTCCCTGTAGTAAGATGTACCACCCTGCCGCGCACGCCGGGGCGCGGCCGGCGCCACTGGCCGAGCAAAGCCCGGCTTGGCCGAGTGCACCCGCAACATGCGTGGCTGCGAAAGCGGGTGGTTTGGGTGCCAGGGCGCGCCAGCCTGAGTCATCGAGACGCCCTGGAAACTCTCCCGCGCCGCAGCTCGAACGACCGCCACGTTGGTGGTGTCTCTCCCGCGCCGCAGCCCGAACGACAGCGCATGAGGTGACACCTCATGCTCCGCTGCGCGCTTCGGTCCCTCCCAGCGTCCAAAGACGACTCCGAAAACTACAGCTCCCTCTTATCTCGTCAGTATCGCCTCGTTTCGCCAGCTGCTGACCTTATTCCGGGACGCGAGAGCACGATCGGGATTCCAAGCATTCGCGCCGCTCCCCGTCGGCGCGCGCGCATTTCACCCCCGGCACAGGTCCGCGCGCGCCGCCGCGGCGGCGCCGGCCCGCCGGTGCGCGTCCGGCGACCACGCGGGCCTCTCGAAGGCGCTGTCGCGGCCCGGCGCGAAGCCGCCGGCGTGGCGGAGCCTCGCGGAGAAGCTCGTCGACGAGGGCTGCGAGAGCATGTACCTCGACCGCCTCCGGGGGTCCTACGACGTCAAGGCGCACGTCGAGTCCATCGAGGAGGAGATGGCCGAGGAGATGGCCAGGGCCCTCGGGCGGACGACGAGCCGCTGCGACTACGAGTTCGCGCTCCTCGACCGCGCGCGGCGGATGCACGACGACGACCCGTCGGACGACGCGCGCGCGGCCTTCGACGCGCAGCGCGCCGCGTGCCTCAAGGCGCGCCAGGACCTGCTCATCCACCGCCAGGCCCTCGGCTTCAAGACGAACAACCACGCCGTCGTCGAGAAGTACTACCCGATCGAGTCGCTGCGCAAGATCGACGAGTCGCCGGACGAGGCCGCCGCGGACGCGGAGCAGCGCGCGCCCTGGGCGCGGCCCGGCACCTACCGCCAGGGGCGCAACTGGGGCGGCTTCCGAACCTTCTAAGAGTCTCCTGTGGGATGTTCACGCGAGAGAGGCGGCGACGTCCACGACGTTAGAGGGGCAGGAGCGCGATCTCCGTCGTCGCGGAGAGGCGGACGATGGACGGCGCCGCGCCGTCCGGGAGCGCGGCGACGGGCCCCGGCGTCGCCGCGAGGAAGGCCCGGAGCCGCGTCCGCGCGAGGTGCGCGACGACGGAGTCGACGGCGGCGTCGAAGAGGGCGACGTCGCCGGCGCCCGCGGCGACGGCGCGCTGGGCCGCGCGCTGGGCCTTGCCGGCGACGTCGACGGCGCGGGGCGCGCCCGGCGCGACGTGCGCGGCGTAGACGCGCGCCGCCGCGGCCGGCCCCGGCCGGCGGCGGTAGGCGGCGACGGCGTCGAAGAAGGCGAGGGGCTCGGCGGCGTCGAGGCCCGCGAGGTGCGCCGCGAAGGCCTCGTGGAGGGGCTCCTCGCGGAGCAGCCGGCGCACGGCGGCCGCCGCGGCCGCGGAGCTCGCGCACGCGTCGGCGACGGCCGGGAGCGCGAGCGACCGCGGCGGCGGCGGCGGCGGCGGCGGCGCCCGGTCCGCGACGTAGGCCTCGAGGAGCGACGCCTTGGATCGCCGGCGGGCCTTGAGCCAGTCCATCGTCGACTGCTTCGCGAAGAAGACGAGGTACCAGATGGAGCCGGCCGCCGCCGCGGGGTAGAGCGCGGCGGCCGCGAGGCCCGCGCAGGCCGCGTCGCGCCGCGCCGCGCAGGCCGCGCCGACGACGCCGACGCCGATGGTGTAGGCCGCGGTCGTGAAGAAGATGCACCCGAAGAACGACGCGTAGTTCTGGCGGCCGACGCAGCGGTTCAGGTAGACGCAGTGGTGGTCAAAGTCCTCGACGCACATGTTGCAGCGCCGGCAGTGGTGGACGCGCGGGCCCGCGACCGTGCCGCAGGCGGCGCACGTCGGTACGCCGGCCTCGCGGTCGGCCGCCGTCGGCCGCCGCGCGGTGCCCATCTGCGTGAGCGTCGCGACCCACCCAAAGTACTGCAGCAGGCCCACGGCGAGCAAGTAGCACCCGCCCCAGGCCCGGGCGGCGCGAGGCTCGAGCCGCGGCAGGCTGCCCAGCGTCGTCGCCAGCGACGCACCGAGGGTCGTCCACATCAACGCCATGTTCGCATCCCAGGGCGCGTGGCAGCCGTGCTTCCGCCCGGGCGCCGTCGACGGCACGACCTCACACTTCGTCAAGAGGAGCGGCGCGGCCTCCGTCGCCGCCGCGGCGGGCAGCGCCGCGCACTTCATCGCAAGCCGTCGCACCGGTGGAGGCGGCGATGACCGCGCACAGCGCGAGGTCCGCGTCGACCACGGACACCCAGCGCCCTTCTCAACCGTTGGCGAAGTTACAAAAACTCAAAACTTGAAGACTTTCTTGAACCTTGGCGGCGCGGGTTTTTTAGCTCTCAAGCAAGCACATGTAGTATACAAAAACACAGGGGTTGAGGCGGAAGGTTGTGGAGCTCCCTAGACGTCTCCGGGGTCGGCCGGGTCGGCGTGGTACTGGAGGTATGCGACGAGGCTGCCGAGCACGGCGCACGAGAGGAGCTTGCGCCCGTGGGGCCGCGCCTTGGCCGCGGCGCGCGCGACGACGGACGGCTCGGGCTCGCCGGCGCCGGCCCGGAGGCACTGGGCGAAGACGCGGTACGCGTCCGCCGTGCCCTGCTCCGCGGCGCGCTCGACCCGCTTCGAGATCATGCCCAGGGGCCGCTTCGGCGACAGCCACCGGACCTTGGTCCGCGTCCGCATGGCGAGCTCCGGCGCCGAGCCGTCCAATGTCACGACGACGGACGTCTGGAACTGGTCGCCGAAGGGCGCCTTCGGGGACGCCGCGTCGACGCGGAGCTCGAAGCGCGACGCCGTGTCGGCGAGCACCTCGCACCGCTCCTCGGTCGGCCCGCCGCGCGGGTGGCGGAACGCGTTGCGGTGCACGGCCTTGCTCTCGCGCGTCACGTCCACGGGGCCGTACCGGTTCGCCTCGTGGAGGAGCCCGCCGAGCAGGGCCGCGCGCGCCGCGGCGAAGGACACGTCCGGCAGCGGCAGCTCCGTGACCATCTCCGCGCGGGTCGAGGCGAGGAGCAAGACGACGAGGGCGGACGCTCGAGCATGGGCCATTGCGACAAGTGCCTGTGCGACAAATCGAAGAGGAGGAGCTGGTGCGAAACTCACGTGTCCTCAACTCTCGCGCAACAGCACGCGAGCGGCGGCACAAGAGATGACCCGCAGACGTGTGAAAGAAGACGAGCGCACGTCCAGCAGCACGCCGCAGAACGACGCACTCTGCACACCAGGAAGAATGCGTCTCGAGTTCGCCGCCGAGCTCTGAAATGCAACTTGTCTGTAACGTGAAGTTTCGGCATCCGTGGCGCAGTCGTATGGCCGTATAAGTCGAGGCAGCCCGATGGGCGGCGCCTACGAGTACGAGGAGATCGGCCGGTCCAAGCGGCTCGAGCGGCGGCGCGCCGCCGTCGGGCTCGGCGCCTTCTTCGTCGTCGTCGGGACGCTGGGCTGGAACCGCAAGAGTCTCGGCGCCGGCGCGCCGGCGAGCGCCCGCGGCGCGTCGCGGCGGCAGGCGCCGAGCGCGTCGCCGCGCGAGGTCGGGTCCGCCAAGCCCTGGCAGGCCGACGCCGCCGCGTTCCCGTCGAACCTGCGCCTGAGCGTCTCGTACTACGGGGAACCGCCGTCGCTGCCGCTCTACGGCATCGCGGCGCTCGCGGAGCCCTTCGCCGCGAACGCGCTCGCCTGGGACGGCGCCCGGGCCGGCGTCGCCTGGCGCGTCGCGGCGGGCAACGCCACGGTCGCCGGCGCGGGCGACGGCGCCTGGGTCGCGACGTGCTTCCGCGGCGGCGACCGCTTCGGCCTCGAGGCGGCGTACGAGGGAGCGTCGGCGACCTTCGCCGTGGCCTGCCGCTACGTGCGCCGCGAGCTCCGCGCGCTGACGGCGCCGGACCGGGCCCAGTGGCTCGCGGCCCTCGCGGCCCTCGGCGCCGCGGCCGACGGGGACGCGTGGCGCGCGGCGGACCCGGCCGCGCGGCGGCGCGCGGCGACGCTCGGCGAGCTCGCGGCGAAGCACAGCCACGGGCCCGGCTGCTCGCCCTTCCACGGCGGCGTCTCCTTCTTCACGGCCCACGCGGCCTTCACGCTCCAGCTCGACGCGAGCCTCCGCGCCGTCGACGCCGAGCTCCGCGCGCCGACGCCCTACTGGGACTTCACCATCGACGGCGCGGCCTTCGGCGCGCGGCCCTACGGCTGGAACGCGTCGTCGGTCTTCGCGGACGACTACTTCGGCCCGGCGCGCGCCGGCGCGGGCGCCGCGCGGCGCGCGGCCGGCCGCGACCGCGCCCCCGCCCCCCGGCGCAGGCGGACGCGGAGGCGGGCCTCGGCGGCGCCTACTTCCGGGACACGGTCCGCGAGCGCGACTGCGGCGACCCCGTCACGAACGGCGCGTGCTACGCGACGGACCCGCGCGACGCCGACGCCACGCCCCGCGTGAAGCGGAGCGCGGACCTCTGCGGCGTCGACGCGGCGCGCGAGCTGCCGCTGCCCGCGTGCGGCGAGCTCGCGCCCTGCGTCGCTCTGGCGCTCAACGGCACGTCGCTCGGCGACCTCCACGCGTGCGCGGAGTTCGTGCTCCACGGCGCGGCGCCCGGCGCCCGTCTAAAACGCCGGCGCGCGACGACGACCGCAGGGAACCTGCACACGATCCTCGGCGGCGCCTGGGCCTGCGGCGGGGACCTCGGCGCGGCGCTCCGCGAGCGGCCCGCGTGGCGCGCGCGAGGCGCCCGGCGTCCGCGCCCCCGCCCCGTCGCGCACCGCACCGCGCCCCCCAGGTTCGTCCCCGCCTGGGCCGCGCGCGTGCTCCCGGGCTGGCAGCGCATGGACCGCGCGGGCTTCCTCGAGCCGGCCGGACCGAACGCCACGGCGCTCGCGTGCCCGGCCTACGACGGCGCGGCCGCGACCGCGCGCGACGTCCTCGCGCGCGCGGGCTACCTCGGCGCGGTCCGCGACCCGTCCACGGGCGCCTGCGCCGTCGCCAGCGACTTTGTCGACGCGTCGGCGCTCGTCGCGGCCGAGGGCGCCGACGGCCGCTGCGCGGCGCGGCTCGCGCCGGCGCTCGCGACGGACGCCGCCGCGGACGACGCCTTCTTCGCGCTCGCGGGCGACGTCGCCTGCGCGCGGCGGCGGCGCCCCCCCCCTTCCCGTTTCGGAAGGCCGCCGAAGCGACGTTCCGCAGGCGAACGGCGCCGTCGGCGCGCTCGCGACGGGCGCGGCGCCCAACGACCCGCTCTTCTGGCCCCTCCACCCGGCCTTCGACCGGATCCTCGCCCTCGCGCGCCTCGGCGGCGCGCGCCTCGACGAGGCCTGGCCCGACGGCACCTGCGCGGGCCGCGCGCCGCGCCGGAAACAGCCGGCGAGCCGGACCAGAACTTTTGAACCTCTCCGTCACATCGACGTCGATTCGGGTGATTTTTGGACGGATCGAGTGCTCTCCTCGAGCTCTCAAAAAGCAGCAGAAGGAAATGTTGCAATCGAAGTGATATTGAAGATTCGAATTCCGCCCAGGCCACGCGCGCGGCGACGCGATGCCGTTCACGCGCCGCGATCTCGGCGACGCCGGCGGCGGCGGCGCGCTCCTCACGAACGGCGACCTCTACGACCTCGTCGACCCCCGGCGGGACGACCTGTCCTACGTCTACGACGCCTTCGCCTGGGACCACTGCGCGGCGGCCATCTCCGCCGCGCTCGCGGGCGACGCGCCGGACGCGGCCTACTCCCTCGCCGACGTCCCGGCGTCCAAGCTCGCCCCGCGAAGGTCGCGATGAATTAGGGCCCGGGGTCGAAGATGGCGCCCGTCGCCGCGGGCCCGCCGTCGTCCGGGGGCAGGGCGAAGTCCAGCGCGCGCGCGCCCCGGTCCACGGACCGGTGCGCCGCGTAGCTCTCGTCGGGGTGCGGCGAGAGGTCGAGGATCTCGCAGATCTCCGCCTCGGACGGCGGCGGCGCCCACGCGCGGTCGAAGGACCGGATGCGGAGCGGCGACGGCCGCGCGGCCCGCGGCGGCTCGACGGCGACGACGGGCTCCGCGCGCGGCGCGGGCTCGGCCGCCGGCGCCGGCGCCGGCGCCGGCGCGCCCTTCTTCTTGAAGCGCAGGAAGCGCCGCTCCGCCGTCTGGAGCGTGGCCTCGCGCGCCTGCCGCGCGATGATGACCGCCGCGAGGTACTGCTCGTAGGTCTGGTCGTGCTCGCCGTCGGCCGCGAGCTCCGGGTCGTCGCCGCGCCGCCGCCACCGCTCGAGCGCGAAGAAGCCCAACGCGAGCGCGCCGAGGCTGCCCAGGAGCACGGCCGCGAACGCCGCGAGGCTGCCGAGGCCGCGCGCGCGCCGGAGGCACCGCGCGGCGCCGACGCAGGCCAAAACCGCGGCCTCGCGGACGACGACGTCCTGGAGGGGCTCCGGCAGGGCCAGCAGCGCCGCGAGCGCGGCGCCGAGGTAGCCGGCCCAGGCCGGGTCCGACGCGTGCTCCTCGTCGAGCGCGCGCGCGAGCGGGCCCGCGCGCCACCGGAGCGAGTCGTCGCGGAACGCCGCGTTGACCGCGCGCCGGTGCGCCGCGGGCGCGAGCTGGTCGAAGGCCGTCGCCAGGCCCCCGGGGTAGCCCCGCAGGCCCGCCGCGCGGCGCCCGAGGAGCGCGCGCCGGCTCTTCTCGGACCGGAGCCTGCGCGGAAATAAATCGGTGAGTTTCAAAATTCTCCAGCTCGGCCACATCGACGTCGATTCGGCTGATTTTTGGACGAGTCGATCGCTCTCGTCGCGGTCTCGAAGCACGGCAGAAAACCTCGCGTCGAAACTGTCGCATACGCTCACATCGAAGTCGGCTCGAGGGTGCGAGTTCCGCGCGGACCGGGGCGTGCACGCGCCGCAGTGGTCGCGGAACGCGAGCCGCTCGGCGACGGACGTGCCCCGCGCCGCGGCGCTCTCGTGGCAGACCAGCGCCGTCGGGAAGACGTCGAGGGGCGTGCGCCAGGGGAACGCGTGCGCGCGCGCGGGGTCGCCGCCGCCCGACCGGAGCCGCGGCGCGAGCGCCTGTGCCGAATTCAAATCTTCAACTCGACTTCAATGTGAGCGTACGCGACAGTTTTGACGCAACTTCTTCGGCTGTGCTTCGAGAACTTGCGACGAGAGCAATCGATTCGTCCAAAAATCAGCCGAATCGACTTCGATTTGACCGAGATAGAGAATTCTGAAGTTTGGTCGGGACGTCCCAAACAAGTGGTTGAATTCGGCACAGGCGAGTGCTCCCGGCAGCAGGACGCGGAAGACGAGCAGGCTCAGGGGGTCGAGGAAGCAGAGCGTGACGACGCGGCCGAGCATGGCGATGCGGAACCAGGAGCGCACGGCCCGGTGGCCGTGCGCCGCGCGCGTCGCGACGACGGCGCGGAGCAGGAGCGCGGCCGCGGCGCCGCAGGCCGCGGCGACGGCGACCCAGGCGAGGACCACGGCGTCCAGCGTCCGCGGCGCCCTGGCCCGCCGCTGGCCGTAGGGCCGCGCCGTGTCGCCGTGGACCTTGCGGTAGAGCGCGAGGCGCCGCGCGTCGAGGCGCTCCAAATGGCAGAACTCGAGGAGCTGGAGCTCGGCCTCGCGCGCGCTCCCGCAGCGCTCGAGGACGCGGCCCCAGGCCTCGGCCTCGCCGTGGGCGACGAGGAGCCGCCAGTAGCAGCGCCGCACGAGCGCGTCGGGCGCGTGGCAGGCCCAGTCCGCGCAGAGCTTCGCGCGCGTCCGCCGCAAACCTCTCGCGGAGCCGGTGCCGCGCCGCGTAGTCGAGGCCGCCGAGCCAGGCGCCCCGCTCCAGGTCCCGCAGCGCGTCCTGCACCTCCTGGTGCCGCGCGAGCACGGCGAGCGCGCAGGGCCAGACGCGGCCGACCGCGAGCGCGCGCGCCGCCGGCGACGCGGCCGCCGCGCGCGCGACGTCGTGGCGCACCTGGGCGCCCCGCAGGCGGAGCAGCCAGGCCGGCTGCCGCCGGCCCCGGGCGACGGCGTCGTCGACGGCGGCGACCTCGTCGGGCAGCGCGCGCTTCGCGCGGTCGAGGACCTCGCGCGCGTCGTCGCGCGGCGCGGGCGACGCCCGCAGGTCGACGACGCAGGCCGCCTCGAGGGCCGACGCCGGCGCCGGCGCGGCGACGGGGTTGTGGAGGCTCAGGCCCACGCCGCCGCCGCGCTTCGCGCCGCCCCGCTCGCCGCCGCCGCCCCGCTTCTCGCGCCACGACGGCTGGTCGCGGCCCGCCGCGGCCGCCGGCGCCGCGCGCGCGGGCGCGCGCGCCTCCGCCGCCTCCGCGTCGGGCGCGACGCGCGCCGCGCGCGCGACGCGGCCGGGCCGCGGCTCGCGCGTGGACCGCCGGCCGCGCGACGGCGGCGAGCCCTCGGGCACGGCGACGGTGAGGTAGCGCTCGTAGAACCAGTCCCAGGCCTCGGCGAGGGGCACGAGCGCGGCGACGGCGACGAGGGCGACGGCGACGAGCGCCGGCGGCAGGTAGGCGTCGTCGGCCGTCGGCGCGCGGTCGTAGCAGCGCCGGCTCGACGCCTCGTAGAAGCAGCGGCGGCCGCCCGCGGGCCGGTCGAGGCGGAGGCAGCCCGCGCGGTCGCCGTCGGAGTCGCCGCAGGCCGGGCCCCCGGGGAAGACGAGGAGGCGGTAGCAGAGGCCCGCGACGGCGTAGGCGGCGAGCCAGTCGACGAGGAGCCCCGCCGCGCGCGTCGTCCGCGGCTCGTCGGGCCGCCGCGTCGTGACGAAGCTCACGTGCGTGTGGCCCTCCCAGACGGCCCGGAGCCAGGCGCCGGCCCAGCCCTCGAGCACGGCGTCGCGCCGGCTCGCCTCGAGCAGGCGCCGCTGCTCCTGCACGGGCAGCCGGTCGCCGCGCGCGCGCGGCCTCCGCGTCGACGCGCGCGCGTCCGCGCGCGCCTGCGTGGAAATCAAATCTTCAACCCGACTTCAATGTGCGCGTATTCGGAAGGTTCGACACACGCTCTTCGGCTATGCTTCGAGAACTCGACGAGAGCGATCGATTCGTCCCAAAATCAGCCGAATCGACTTCGATTTAGCCGAGCTCGAGCATGTCAAAGTTTGGTCGGGACGTCCCAAAACGGTGGTTGATTTCCACGCAGGCGCGCGCGGCCGCGGCCGCGTGGTCCTCCGGCGCCGTCGCCGCGTCCTCGTGGCAGCCCCAGAGCGCGAGGCAGCAGCAGGCGCCGCACGTCGCCGCGTAGACGGCGAGCGCGAGGAGCACGTTGAAGCCGAGGCGCTCGCCGTCGACGTCGCCGGCCGCCGCGGCGCGCGCGGCCCACGCGAGCGCGGCGCCGGCCGCGCCGGCGACGTCGAGGGCCCCGGCGACGTCGCAGGCGCAGGTCACGTTGGCGCCGCCCGCCGGCCCCGCGGCGGCGCACGCCGTCGCAGCCCAGGGCTGGGTGCCGGTCCGCGCGAGGCACGCGTCGCCGCCGACGTCGGTCACGTTGACGTCGACGGCGGCCGCGGACCCGTTGCCGCAGTCAAGGTAGACCGACGGCCAGGTCGTGTTCGCGTAGCGGCCGGCGGCCGCGCAGTCGAGGCGGCCGTTCTTGAGGATCAGGGTCGGCGCCGTCGCCTTCAGGCGCCGCAGGCGCACGACGTAGGGGCCCCCGGCGGCGGCGGCGCCGCCGCCGTCGACGGCGCCGGACGAGCCCGCCGCGACGCCGCGCGCGCCGGGCGACCCGCGCAGCCGCCGGCGGCCGCCGTCGAGGTCGACGCGCGACACCGCCGTCGTCAGCGCCAGGGACGCGGCCGTGCCGCCGCGCCAGACGTCCGCGACCGAGGCGACGAGGCTCACGTCCGCGGGCGACGGGAGCGACGCCGCGTCCGGCAGCGCGAGCGCCGCGCGGGCGCCCCGGTCCCCGAACTTGGCGGCGTCGGCGGCGGCGTCGGCGATGGCGAGCTCGAAGCCGCCGGGCGACGCCGCGGACGCGGCCGCGACGGCGACGTAGCGCGTCGCCTGCGCGGACGTCGCCCGTCGCGCCGCGACGTCGGGGCCGACCTTCGGACCGCTCGGTCGCGTCGAACGAGTGTTGGACGAACGGATGGCCTCTCGTCGAGTTCTCGAAGCGCGGCGGACGCGTCGGATCATGACCGTCGGCATGTTTCCCGGGTTGAAGTCCGCCCGAAGATTCGAGTTCCGCGCGGCGCGGCGCGAGCGACCCGCCGAAGCTCCGGTAGCCCGCCGCGACGTCGTCGAGGACGTCCAGCAGCCCCGCCATCGTGCTCCGGGCCACGGTGGCGCCGTCCGTCGCCGCGCAGGCGAGGACGCCGACGCGCAGGTCGCCGACGGCGCCCAGGAGGTCCACGCCGCTCGTCGCGTTCGCGAGCCCGTGCGCGCGCGCGGCCGCGGCGACCTGCGCGGGAAATCAAATCTTCAACCCGACTTCAATGCTCGTAATCGAACGATTTGCGCCGGGCTCTTCGGCTCCGCTTCGAGGACTCGACGAGAGCGATCGATTCGTCCACAAATCAGCCGAATCGACGTCGATTTGGCCGAGCTCGAGCGCGTCAAAGTTTGGTCGGGACGTCCAGAACCGGCGGTCGATGTCCACGCGGGCGGCGACGGCGTCCGCCGCGGCGACGAGGTCGCCGACGGCGCCGGCGTCGAGGGCCGCGCAGGGCCGGAAGGCCGCCGCGCGCAGGGCCGCGGCCGCGGCGGCGTTGGCGGCGACGTCGCCGCGGTCCGTGAGCCCGACGTAGGCGACGGCCGCGGCGGCGACGTGGCGCGTGACGTTGACCGCGGCGGCGTAGTCGTCGGCGCCGAACTCGCAGGCCGCGCCGTAGAACCCCGCGTCGCAGAGGCAGGCGGCGTCGCACCAGGAATCGCCCGCGTAGCAGGCCGCGTCGGTCCGCGCGAAGCCCTCGAGGACGTCGAGGACGACGCACGCGCCGCGGCCGCCGCAGCCCCCGAAGCAGGCCTTGCGCGGCTCGACGCAGGCGCCGGCCTCGCAGGCCTCCCAGGCGCAGTCGGCGTCGCTCGCGCAGGCCTCGCCGAGGCCGCAGGGCGCGCAGGCGCCGCCGCAGGCGCCGCCGCAGTCGTCGTCGGCCGCCCAGCACGCGGACGCGCTCGGCGCCCAGGCGCCGACGGACCCGGCCGCGCAGTCGCCGCAGCTCGCCGGCGGCGCGCCGACGCCGCAGGGCTCGCGGCCCAGCGCCGCGCAGGCCGCGCCGCAGGCGCCGGCGCCCGCGAGCGCGGCCGCGGCCGCCGTCGCCATCGCCGCGAGGCTCGGCGCGTCGCCGGCGCCGACGGCGGCGTCGAGCAGCGCGCCCGTCACGGCCGCGAGCGCCGCGAGGTCGTCGCCGCTCGACAGCGCGCGCGACGACGCCGACGCCGCGGCGCCGAGGCTGCCGGCCGCGGCCACGGCATCGCCGGCGCTGCCCACCGACAGGGCACACAGGCCCACGAGCCGCGCCACCGGCGGCGGCCACCGTGGCCTTCGGCGGCCGCGCTGGCGGCCATGGGCAGCGGCCACCATTGTCGAGGCCAGGCCTCTAGCGCTAGATTTGCAACTGCATTTACCCTAACTCTAGAGGAGTTTTTTTTGTAGTTTTGTGGGCTGTCTTCCCTCGTCACATCCACCCGCCCCGACCGGCGGCATTCTAGCCGGCGACCGGCCGCACCTCGAGCATGAGCGCGTGCTTCTGCTCCAGCGCGAGCCAGGAGCGGGAGCACCTGCAGTCGCTGACGCTCGCGCCGACGAACGCCTTCTTCTTCCCGAAGACGTGCTACTCCGACAGCAAGCTCGTGTCGCACAGCGCCACGACGCTGACCTACCGAAGCACCTCCTCCTTCGACCAGAGCGGCGAGTTCGAGACGGCGGACAAGAAACATACGATCGTCGTCCAGAATCGGACGCGCGCGCTGTCGTTCGAGCCCATCATCGTCTACCGCGACGACGAGGACAGCGTCGTCGCCGTGAGCAAGGGCACCATGGGGCTCACGGAGGACACCTACGTCATCTACCGGGGCGCGCCGTCCTACGAGGGGCAGGCGCCCGAGCGGGACCCGACGCGCGGCCTCGACGACGTGCTCGGCTCGTACTACCCCTGGGCCGAGATCACGACGAAGCGCGGGCTCACGTCGGCCGTCAACGAGTTCCGCTGCTTCGAACAAGGCGGGAGCCCGGACGCGCCGAAGCGGAGCGACGCGCTCTACCGCGGCGTGAAGTTGTCGGCGATGGAGTTCCTCGGGAAGGTGAGCACGGCGTCGGGCGACCTCGTGGGCAAGTCGTACACGACGGGCGCGGGCTGCCGCTCGACCTACGTCGTCGAGGTCGCGTCGCACGCCGACATGATCGCCATCATCTGCACCGCGGCGGCGCTCCAGAGCAACGCGGGCGGGACGACGGGCGCGCTCTCGGCCGGCGGGCTCATCTAGCGCGGGGCGGCGTGGCGGCGCGCGCCGGCGCTGCCCCCCTAAAACATGACACGAATGTCCTTACTTCCACTGCGGCGGCGGCCGAGTTACGACGTCGAGTCCGCGCGCGAGAGCGAGCGGCGGAGGCCCGACCGCGCGGCCCAGTTCGAGGCCGCGGGCCGGACGTCCTTGCGCGCGAGGAGGTCCTTGGCGGCGCTCTTGAGCGCGCTGCGGAGCTTGTCGTCGAGGCCGGGCCGCGGGTCGTCGAGGAGCGCGTGGAGCGCGCGCTTCAGGTCCGCCTTGCGCTGGGCGTCCGCGCGGGACCGCGGCGCGCGGCAGCGGCGGTCGTCGGCGACGGCCGCGGCGACGAGGGCCGCCGCGGCCTCCTCGAGCGCGAGCGCGCCGCGGGGCCCGCGCGGCGGCCCGCGCGCGAGCGCCTCGAGGTGCCCCGCGGACGGCGGCGCGCGCGCGGCCGCGGCGTCGGCGCGCGCGTCCGGGATGCAGTGGGCCGCGTCGACCTCGGCGAGGCTCAGGGGCGCGAAGGGCAGCGCGCCGTCGTCGAGGCGCTCGTCGCCCACCGCGAGGACGCGCTCCGCGGCGACGCGCGCCTCGACGGTGCCGTCGTCGAACGCGACGGCGTACTCCCGC